GAATTTTAATCAGACAGACTGGAGTGGCGTAGTGGCAAAAGAAATTGTTTTAATTGTAAAGTGCTGTCTCTCAAGCTTACACTGGGAAGTGCTGAAGTACCCTCGATACGTGATGTATCTCTATAATAACTAGTAGTTTCATTATTCTCAACTAGAATTTCGTAATTTCATAATAGATTCCTTATATGCTATACATGTTGAAATAAGAATTGCTCAATCGCCATTACTGTAAAATATTTTATATTTTAATGGACTATATCTACGAGTGCACTAAAACTACTTAATATGCATCTGTGCGAAGTTGGAGTGACGCCAAATCATTCGAGCCGGCACTAGCTACAAGTGGCTTCGTAAGGTTGGCATCACTGCCCAGACAAATTGGTTAACAGAGCAACAAAATGGGGGCAAAAACGTTCATAATTACTGCCAACTAAAAAAAGATAAGACCGTCAGTCACAGTTCATTGTTGGAAAGTTTTTTTTTGTTTAATACGGCGTCTTAATGATTGTTACAGTGGCAAAATTGTGTTAAAATCCCTCCACCAGCTCGTCTTTGGAATGTTGCCTCCTTTTTCCTCACCCCACTCCCTACCCATTGAATGTCTTTCAAGCTCCCCTCGTAATTCTATACGCGGGTCTCTCGTGATGATGTTTTTATTCAATTCACTTGATGAATATATTAGTTAATTTGGAATTTAAATTTAAAACTTCTCCTTTTTACGTTCTCACGTAGCTGCATATTTAGATCGATAGAAACAATATTAAATAAAATTTCACAATCAGTATGAAACTATACCTATAAACGGTAAATATTACGATAAAAAATAACGATGTCTGATACAAGATAAATATTGATGGAAGATATCGTATGAATCGTTGAATATATCCATTTAAAAATGCATTACAAAACGAATTATTTGAAGATAAGAAAGATTATACATATTATTTATGTTAATGCGAGATAAGTAGTAGCCATGACATCAATGTCTTTAGGATAGTGTTGTGTCCCGACGATATTTGCTTTCATTGGAGACGAAGTCGGCATCGCATTTCATGTCACCTATGGGAATACAAACATTTGTATGATATTTTTCTCACGAATGGGTTGTGTACATCAGACTTTATAGTTATTAATACAACGACAAAATTCCCGACCGTATGCTAATTGGTTTAATAATATGAATAAAATACGAGCTTAGAATTGTCGCTATACATTCTAATTGGGTTTGTTACTACGAGGGGGTTATTTGCGAAGCACTCGACTTGATAAGAACGTTCATTTTTCATACGTTACTATCTGAATGATTATCGCACTGGATTCCTACAAGTGGACTGTTTTCGCGACCACTTGTATGTCGCTTTTATGTGACTTTTGTGTCATCTGACACAAGGATTAACATTTCGCCGTAAAATTGTTCTTCAAGCTTTATAACTGTTTCCAAGTCTGACTGAGTTGATGTTATCAAAACGTTTGAAGTGTCTTTTGGTATGTAAAAGTAAATTCTTAGTATCTCGAATTTAATTCAAAGAAATAACTTATGAACTATAAGATAACTATCTTTTTAATTGCCGTATAAAAATTAGTTGCATAAAATTCTTAAAATTTTTAACAAAATTACTATTCTAATAGGTTGTTTTGAAATTCTCAGAAATCTAATCGAATGTACGCAACCGCAACGCTCCAAATGTGTATAAAATTAACAAAAATACTGTCGACCTGTATTAGTAATGTCCTATTAAATGAATTAATAATATAAATTATAAAGCGAAACGTTCAATTAAAAATATATATGCGGTCGCGACGCGGCGCCATTGCGACGTCTCTGCCACGCTTCGTCGCCACTCGATTACGACTATTTTAAGTGGCCACAATCTTCCTGATACATTTTTACTGTACAGGAATTACTATTGTGTGTATATCTGAAAAATATTATTAAAGTAAACAAAGATATCGGTTTTTTTCTCTCTGTTTTCGTTTAATAAGCATTGGTTTATTATTGTTTGAGTTATTTTTACATCGGTTTTCCTTTTACGAATAGTGACATGTTTTTATACTGATGTATTGTTTTTCTTTATTTGCGTTAAATCAGAATCTATTTATGTCAATGACTAGGTTAAAGAAATAATAAATAAGAAAATAATAATAAGTGTAAGAGCTATTTTATTGTGAGGCAATCGTATTATTTACATCGATTAAATGTATATGTGGTAAAAAATTCAAGATTTATCTATTTACTACATTAATCATTACTTTATGTAAGATCATATTTTTTATAAGTAAACAGTACATTCCAAATTATCCCTAAAATATAATAAAATATTCATTTCAGTATACACGCCACTGACAATTAAAAACATGGGTCATTAGCAAATAAAAAATCCTTCACGCAATGAATTGTTTTAAGAAATCGTTCAATATAAATAAATGACTTGACATTTTATTTTTACGATTCATTGTTTGTATCACCTGAAAATATATCCTCTTATTTTGTTGGCAGAATAATGTCTATTTATAGTCATTCAAACGGTTTCAAATAAAAAAAAAGTTTTAATGACGCCGTCTATCCTCATAGTGCGCATGCGTAGTAGTAGCGTATAGCGTACTACAGGTGAATTTGACCTTCTTAGGTCACTTACAAGTCACGGCCATTCAAATTCTAGTCACATCACTCTAATGTGAGTAAACACGTGTTCAGAATATTAAAAATATAATTAATTATAATATTTTTGATATAATATTTTTGATATAATATTTGTCATATCAATTTTTAAAGTCATTTGCAGCGGAGGTAAGTTTATTTAAAATGAGCATCGTAACTTAAAAATAATATGTACGCGATTTGGATTCGGTCTTGCCTTGTTTCCCTAATTATTTATTAAGAGCATTATACATTCAAATGGAACACAGTAAATTTACAATTACAATAGAAGGTCCACTTGTTAGCGGTTTGTTTGCGTTTATAACTTGAATCTATAATTTATGCCTTAGGCTGTAGTCATCTTCAATTATTTTTATTTATTATCGACGCCCAACCGCAAGCCTCTAAGACAGAACAAACAATTTAACTGTATTATTATGTTTATTTTAATATTCATTCATAAGGTCATATGTTTACGTCATAATTATGAAGAATTATTATTATTTATTGACCTTTTCCTTTATATAATGTTTAGTTCTGCGAAGGGTAGAAAAATAAAGGTCATTTTATCTCCATGTCGCCTTCTAAGTAAAGTTCGTTGAACTTTCTCAGAAAATGTTATTTGATGAGCAACAATGATTTGTTACCCCTTATTGTTAACTTTTGTGGGTGTATGTAAATATTAACTTGATAATTTTAAGGTGCCGCGTGGGTGGACACAATTATTCAGAATTGTTATTTATATTAAAGATATAAGTCATCCAACAATCTTGTTAATTTATTAATAGAAATAGAATAATATAGATAATATATACATAGATGTAACAAGCATTATATTTAATTAATAAATCGAATGTTTTATGTTTTTTCAGATAGTATAGAGCTTATTAGTCTATGTTGTGAGTCAATGACCTCACCGTTTCATACGAGTTAGGTATGGGTACGCGTGCCCACTGTTCATGGGTGTAATTCTGCGAATGGAGACATGATTCACTTGAATCCGCTTCGCAGCATCCTTGTCATACTTTAGATCTGCGCCTTACCAAAAACGTTTCGTAGATTCGTAATAACAATCTATAGGAATTGTATTCATAGTTTGATTACAGTTCTAGATAGGTTGGTTAATATTATCGTACATATGTGTTATATGATTCGATTAAGAACTTATTTACCTGATACATATAGCGTCTAGAGATATTCTTAATACTTTTATATATATTAAAACTCTTTTAAATTTATTCATCAATACAAAATCACTTGCAAGTTATGACTCATTTTGTTTTTTGAGTCTTAAGTTTGACTCAACGTAAGCTAGTTTTGTATCAGTGAAGTTCACTATAGCTCGAAGTCTTGAAGTTGTTTTTTTCAACAGTAACCTACTTCCGTCCACTCTTATAAGTAAAGTAATATTTTAAAATGTCTCGACTTGCCATCAAGTTTTTAGAGCCTTTTTATCTGAACTATTCAATTGTATAAAAATGTTTTATTACGACTAAGTTAAAACTACATTTACTATCCAAATTTCTGTTAATATATAAAAATAATAATAAAATAGGCTTACGTAATTCTAATACATATTTCTCAATTTAAATTATGAGCAATATAGGAACATTTTAGTGTGGAAAGCAAAATAAATCAAACCTAAAATGCACGTACGTGAATGACGTAATTTTATTTGGTCAGCTATCTGAGTCATAAGGTCAGTTCCAATAATAAAGAGGAACTTATATTAATCAATTGTTTTGTATGAACTCAGTGTTTTGTTGTTAATCGTGCGTTACGGTCATTGAAATGGTGAATAAACTGTATTTAAGTAGACTTTTACGGAAAATAAGAAGATCGCGTTGTGCTGTTTGCTGTAATAATGAAAATAATGTTTTTCATAATGGATCGAATTATGGGGTAATACACAAATCATCTATTCTTTGTTTGTTTTAACATTTTCATCCCTACTAATATTATAAATGCGAAAATAACTCTCTCTGTCTGTCTGTTACGCTTTCACGCCTAAACCACTGAACTGATTTTAAGGAAATTTGGTACAGACACAGAGTTGACCTTGAGAAAGAACATAGGATAGTTTTTATCCCAGACTTTTGAAAGGTTCTCTTGGAAATGCGATATAACCGAACTCCACGCAGGCGAAGCTGCGGTCGGAAAGCTAGTTGCCTATAAGTAGCACGTATAATGTATATAAGTATAGTACCGTTTTTAATCTTACCCTTTTAATACCCCATTACATTGTCAGTGCGTTAATTAAAAGGATGTAGTACAGCGGCCGCATTCTGTAAAATGTGAATGTTATGTGATTGTTTTAAAGTTATATCGGTTGCATAAACGATTGCGGTGATCGGAAACGGACATGGCCTGCCCCAACGGTCCGCCCACGGGCGTCGGGAATCGGGATCATAATCAGTTGCACAACGCAATACATCGTTATCAGTACATATGGGACGCATCAGTACAACTGTAATATTACCACGAGTTTTCATTCAAACTAAATACGGAACGTCTCGAGTTTTTCATTGATAGATATGTATATTTATACTATAGTAAATATAAACGTCGACTATGCAGTTAACGTACTAAACTCATAGTAAGGAATCACTTACGAATGTTAAGTGCGAGATTACCGATGTGCAATCCCGTTATTGGATTCATGACAACACACAGACAGCAAAATATTATACTTAGTAATCTTAAAACTGTTTTGCCATTGAAATATTATTTGAATGATAAAAATGAGTTTTTTATTGCAACGATACCGATGTTTATTTAAAAGTATTAAAACAGTATTCGTTTCGTACAAAATGTGTTTAATTCGATGCCTGTATGTACAGTTGAAACTGCAGCTGCCTTCACCCTACCTCGTGTGTTGAAGTGTCAAATTTTAATACGCACTTACAGAATAGTTATTAAACCAACTGTATATTATATTAATACTAGCTTTCCGCCCGCAGCTTCGCCCGCATGGAATTCGGTTATGTCGCGTTTACAAGAGAACCTTTTAAAAGTCTGGGATAAAAACTATCCTATGTTCTTTCTCATGATCAACTCTATATCTGTACCAAATTTCTTTTAAATCAGTTTTGTAGTTTAGGGGTGATAGCGTAACAGAGAGACAGACAGAGTTACTTTCGCATTTATAATATTAGTAGGGATGAAAGCGGTAATTTTAAATTTTATTTAACAATTTTCACGAGATGCTTTCTTGTCGCCGAGTGGGAGATATTTGGATGAACTTGTAAACTTTCGTGTTATCTCATTAATCATATTTACAAGCGAGGCCCGTGCTGATGTTATTGAGGCTGTAATTACTCCTGATGGAGTGTGTTGGTCGACCAGCGATCGAGACCAATTGGATTAATGCGAGGACATTCATCATCCGATTTCGTTTGTGTACGGTAAAATGAAATTAATGGCCGCGATACTTGCGATTCAATGGACAGCAGAATAAAATTAAGTCTTATCAACTGGTATTGCATTATTGAAAGAATTATAGAGATTTTTTTACTTAATATATGAAATGAGGAGTTGTGATTTCGTTTAAAAGTACCTAGTAAGCTTAGTCGTGTTTATAGCGTTATGGTTTTAATATATCCTTGTTCTTCTTCTTCCTGGCAATTTCCCAGCTTTAGCCAGGGTCTGCCATATCCTTGTTGTTTAAATGAAACTAATATAAAGTCTTAGATCGCATCCTTGTTGTTATTAGATAAGCTGTATGTACCTACAAATCTCTATCAAATTCTATATAATATATGTATATTTAACTCTCTTAGTAAGTCAGTGGTGGCCTAGTGGTTAACAGGCCCGCCTCTCAAACTTGAGGGCGCAGGTTCGATCCTGGCCCGGGCAAGTACCAATGTGATTTTTCCGAGTCATATGTATAAATATTTAGACATCACTGATTAATGCATTCACAAGGAAGGTTGATGTCAGGCAGGCGGCCGGTCGTAAAAACAATTAGCCAAAACTATTCACAACATGTAAGGCAGACCCTGGCTAAAGCTGGGAAATTGCCAGGTAGAAGAAGAAGAAGATTTAAGTTTCTTAGTCTTATTTGTCCGTATGTTGTTACAGTGCATGGCGCGCGCGTTGTACGACAATATAGCGGAGTCGCCGGACGAGTTGGCGTTCAGACGAGGCGACCTGCTCACAGTCCTGGAGCAGAACACTGGAGGCAGCGAGGGCTGGTGGCTCTGCTCGCTCAGGGGAAGACAGGTACCACATACAAACAAATAAAAACCCTACACCATAAGAATAATGTAGTGTATGTATCGATACAATAGATATAATACACTGTCTCACGTACTCCACTGGAGGGGGTGGCATGCGCTCGGCAGTCTAATGACTAGCGCGGAGTGGAACGGTTGCGTGCGCCTGCGCTCTAGGCGGGGTAGTAGTGAGCCAGTGACTAGTTATACTTACATATAGGACCAGGGATCCTACAAATAGGATTGTAAATTGAATAGTAAGAAGATCGTGAGGAGTTTAAGAAATCCACTTAAATAATGTATTCATTCAATTTATAAGTTTTCAGGGTTGGATTTTATTCATATTTTTTTTTCATAGGGAATATGTCCCGGAAACAGGCTGCGTATAGTGGCCGGGGTTTTCGACGCAAGTTCAGCTCTACAGAGGCGGCGCACGCGCACCCCCGCCCCCGTCGCGCACCAACCGCTCCCCTCACAACAATCACCCGCCTTCACAAAAGTAAGCAAATATATTTATAAGATTTCCTCATTACTTAATGTTGATGTTAATATGAATTACGTCATTAATTGTACGCATTATGGAGTTTAAAATATGTTAATAATATCCTTAACTCGTCATAACTATGTAAAACCGTAAGCTTTAAACATACTGTATACAAAATGTAAATCATCATCACGGATACAGATAGCGATCTCAGATCTCGATGTCTCCATTATATTGTTGATGTATCGATTTTATTGTGCTAGCTCGAGATCGTATCGGTCAGATAATCGTTATACGCTTAAACGATTATGTTATGAAATTAAATTTAATTTATTACTTTAAACTTATTGATTGATTTACTTTATCAAAGCACAGAATACACAGTATATTGACGGTTTATGTAATGTATAGAGCTGGTAGGTTAGGTTAGGTTTTTTAAAATATGGCCTTCACAGTATATTCTGCCAGTGTCGTGTATTATGTTAGGTTAGCGGAAGTTTTTTGACGTTATCATGGTATTTGTAGATCGAGGAATGCTCTCATTACGACGTCCCTCGGGCTCCAATGCCGGTCCAACGTATCATCGGTACGTACGATTGTCCCCGGTCACACGGGGACTGGTACGACGCACCTCGGGCTCCGCGACCGGCCAGTGCGGATTCAGCGTGCAGTGGAACGGGTTCTTTAACATCAGCTACATCAAGCGCTTCAGCAAATTCGGGAAGTTCAGCAAATTCCGCTTCAAGTACTTATGATGTACCCAGATCACGCGCGTTGCCGCTGCCATGCGACGCTGCGATGGAGGCGTTAGAACGGTTACAGGTAAAAATTACACTGAAATGGACATGAAATATAATGAGATCTAAGGTTTTTGAGTTTTATTCATTTAAATGAAACTTATATTTTTGTGATATACTACATACTCCCGACGTTCGGCTACTTTTCAGCAACCATGATCCATCTTGTTTGCACTTAATCACGGTTTCTGAAAAGTAGTCAAAACGTCGGGAATATGTAGTTTATTACAAAAATAAAGTTGCGTAGTACATCCGAAAAATATAACTTTCATTTAAATGGACATAACATAACTCCATACATTTATTTGTGCGGAATTATTTATCTTATTTATTATATAGGAGGAGGCATCTACAGCTGTATCCCGCCTACTGTCCTACGTCACGCCGGGCTGGCGGCGGCGCGGCGCGTTACGGCCGCGCGTGTTGGACGTGCGCGTGGCGGGCGCTCGTCTGCGGGCGGCCTTACACGACCTCGCGGTGTTCGCTGACGCTACACTGGCCAACGCTCATGATGCACAAGACAAAGGTATGACTTGCTCATTATGTATATACTGCTATTTATATTTATGAGATTAAAACTGACATAGAAAGGAATATCATAGTTTTGAATTTTGATTTAATTTAAAAAGCATGATAATATTGTTATGAATACAGCAATAAACAGGATTCATATAAAATTAATAAAGATTTTAGAAAAATTAAAAGTATAAATTGAGATAGCCACTGACAAAGAAATATTATTATTGCAATCGGCTATTCATAACATTGAATGAGATCACAATGTCACAAGAGAAACTATGTTATTTAAAAAAAAAATAAAACCAATGTGTTTTAGACCACACGGCTAAAATAAATTTCTTTCGCTCCATCTACAGGGTGACTGGTGAATTACTATCAATATTTAAGGAGAATACTCGGTACATGATTCTCATTCGAATTATGTAAAAAAAATAGGTACTTAATTTTTGACCAAATTTCCGTATAAATAAATAAAGTGTGGACACGTTCCAAGTGTTCCAAGTGTGGACGCGTGCGGCGGCGTGCTGATACAATACCACGCCGCCGCACGCGTGTGTGTGTGTGTATACCTAATCTGTAGGGTGTTCACACGATGCGTAATTAATTACATAACTTTTGGTTAACTTTTCTTAGAAGTTTATTAATATTTATGTTATATTAATTTTTATTTTGTCATATATGATCGTCATATATCACGTCCTCAAGTATCGATAGTAATTCACCAGTCACCCTGTATATTATGTAATATGTATATGCGTATGTTTGTATATGTATAATGCAGATATATAGATATATATATATATCTTCATTTATTTACCAAATTTAAAATTATACCTCCTTTCGTTCGTCTCGCTCGATCACACTTTTCGTAACGCTTTCGTTACTCATTCACCAGCTTACTAAAAAGTCTAGCATATAAAGAAGTTTTACTTCAAAAATTTGACATAACTTTTAAAACAATCATATAAAACGTAACATATTTTATTTCAGGTATCGCAGTAAAGCTACGGCCACTAGTTAAAGCGCTTAAGGACGCGGAGCGGATCACACACGAGGCGACGAGCGCGTTGGACGCGGGCGACTGGGCGCCTGAACGGCTCGAGCGGGACCGCGAGCCCACAGACGGGACGCACGACGCGCTCGACCAGCTCGTCGCGTGTGCGCGCTCCCTTACTGAGGACGTACGGCGAGCTGCGTCCTTCATACACGGGAACGCGTCGCTGTTGTTCAGGTATATACGGTATATGATATTGGAAGTTATTCATCTAATTGTATTGTGATCTCTGTCTGTCTCTCTTTCTATCTCTCACTCTGTATTATTTCTTTCAGCGAAGATAGATTTTTTTGTTATATTGATCAATGGATCAGACACATGAATGAATACTGTAATGGTAGATGGATTAGGGACAATTTAATGTGCGCATTAAACTCAAATGTATAAAACTTGTACATAGCTTGGATTTCTTTTCGTTTTTATCGCATTACATATAAAATAAATGAGTCAACAGCGATTTAAATCTCTGCTAACGATCACAAATTCTTCGAATATTCATTGACTATTAAGTTCTTATTTTCCAGGCGTTCAGCGACAGTTCCTGAACACGAATGGACCGAGGAGTATGACTACGTGAGGTTGGAGTCACGAACCGCTGTTGGTAGAAGGAACGCTGAGATACGGGCAGCTCTGCCAGACAAACTGAGGGCCTCCTTCGACGCGTTAGTACGAGACGCGGACCACGCGGGCGAGGTATGACGTCATCACTATACTCATCAGGGTAAAAAAATAACCAAAAAATAATAAAATAGATACAGTCGTAGGAATTATAAACATATGCACAGACTAGACTAAAATAAAACCGTGGGGCACGTCAATTGTCTTTGTCAATTATTATTAAAAATTTCAGATTAATCGGTTGACAGGAAGAGTGTGAAATTTGAATTACTAAATTTGTTATTTGACCCAAGAATAAATAATAAATAAAACAAACGGGGTGAGCTCAATAAAACCGTTTAATATATGCTACGTTGTTGATTGATGTGAGTTAACTTAAATTTTAATCAAATACTCAACCAGTGTTTATATACACTTTATAAACACTGGTTGAGTATTTGACTAAACTTTAAGTTAGTTCAATTGATTTGTTCATTCATTCCAAATCACCAAACAAACATTGTGAGAAAAAAATATATCTATCTTTTCAAAATCAAAAAACCCTAATGAATACACTGACACAAAAAAAAGGCAAATGATCTTTACAATGAAGACTAAATGGGAATAAATGGGACTTATACAGGGTGACTGGTGACTGGTGAATTACTATCGATACTTGAGGACGTGATATTTGACGATCATATATGACAAAATAAAAATTAATATAACATAAATATTAATAAACTTCTAAGTAAAGTTAACCAAAAGTTATGTAACTAATTACGCATCGTGTGAACACCCTACAGATTAGGTATACACCCACACACACACGCGCGAGCGGCGGCGTGGTGTTGTATCAGCACGCCGCCGCACGAATCCACACTTGGAACACTTGGAACATGTCCACACTTTATTTATTTATACGGAAATTTGGTCAAAAATTAAGTACCTTTTTTACATAATTCGAATGAGAATCATGTACCGAGTACTCTCCTCAAATATTGATAGTAATTCACCAGTCACCCTGTATATTCCCATCGTCATTTTTCTATGTTACAACTAGTATAAACCAATCAATGTAAATTGTCTTAGTTGTCTAAATAGCTCACTAGGGGAGTTACTTTCTATGTCGCAAATGTTACTGGTTGTATTATACCATCGACTTATACTAATCGATATCCCTTAGAGAAGAGAATTGTGGCACTTCGAAAGAAAGAGAGGAAACGAAGTTTCGGTCTATCTTTATCTCTCTCAAATTTATATGCCGTGCTTGTAATGAAAACTGAGCGCCAATCATCTATGAGGAAAGAGATAGTGCTAGACCGAAAGCATAAGCCATCTCTCTCACTCTTTTCAAACCAAAAAATTACTGTAGGTTATACGCGTACGGCATGTCCATTAGTATAAGTCGATGTATTATACTTTCTCTTGTGTCAACTGTTTGAAATATGTGTTGTTATGATAAATCGTAGTTTATTTTCGCCTAATTCCATCATTCTATAATCAAAATTAATATATTTCTTCCAGGTTAGTGCTGTAGCAGCTGCCACTCGTTTGCCAGCCGATGATCGTCAATTGGCCGCTTTTTACGCCGCTCAAACGGCCACGTACGGCGCACACCTAGCAACCGCTGTGGACGCATTCCTCAGAACCATCGACATGGGCCAGCCGCCGGACGTGTTCCTCGCGCACGGGAAGTTCGTGGTGCTCAGCGCGCATAGGATCGTACACGTGGGGGACACTGTACACAGGTTAGATATACATATAGCTAGCTTTCCGCCCGCAGCTTCGCCCGCGTAGAGTTCGGTTACATCGCGTTCCCAAGAGAACCTTTCAAAATTCTGGTATAAAACCTATCCTTTGTTCTTTCTCGAGGTCAACTCTATCTCTGTACCAAATTTCATTAAAATCAGTTCAGTGGTTTTGGCTTGAAAGCGTAACAGATAGACAGAGTTACTTTCGCATTAATAATATTTGTATAGATATAGGAATATAATAAAGGTCGTGGTGGCAAAGTTAAAGGTTCGCCTCTCGTGCATGGCGCGGGTTCGAAACCTGGCAAGTATCAATGTGATTTTTACGAGTCATATATTTTCTAAGAGTATTTAGACACTATTGACAGACGGTGAAGGAAAATGTGTGGAAACATGGACTTATAATTTCAAATTATAAGTTTCGAAAACGCCAACCCGTCTTGATCAAGCGTGGTGATTATTTCTCAAACCTTCTCCATGTGAGAAGAGGCCTTTGCTCAGCAGTGGACTCTGATAGGTTGATGATGAGAAATATAGTAAAAAATGTCATAAGCTAAAGATTTTTTTCATTTGAGAATCTTGATATATGTATATATCACTTGCAGGAGCGCTCAGCACTCGGGACTAAAGTCGAAAATACTGCGGTGTTCAGACGCACTATCGGACGCGCTAGCGGCGACCGTGGCTAAGACTAAAGCGGCAGCGTTACAGTTCCCTTGCGCGAGTGCGGTGGCCGATATGGCTGAAGCGGCGCGGACATTGGCCGTGAGGGCGCAGGAACTAAGGCGAGCCCTAGTTAGAGCAGCTGAGCCCCCACAAGACACGCCCTCTACCACGGTACCACAATCCTCTACCACGACACCACTCACGCCACTCACTCCTATCGCTCATCCCACTACTACACTTCCCGTATTATAAATGACTAGACTAACTCACAAGTTCCTCGCTTGGATTGAACTCGTTGATATACGTCGTTGTGACGGCTGTTAGGTGATTTATTGTCACCCGTGATTTTATGTACTTAATGTTGATGGCTGATGGTAATCTGATGCGACCCTAAGATGGAAGAACATAACCAAAGATATCCAGTAATGAATACGCGACTTGAAGGTACTGCCGATTAATATATGTAAAGTTTTTAAACTAAACAATGTTGCCATATACAATAACTAAAGCTAAAGCTGCCATTAGTTTGTTTGACGTTTTGACAGCGTGTTTTGACTTTTTATTTCAGGATGCTCATTTGCCTTAGTGAGTTGAGTTGTCCGTCCAATTATACACAATAGCGCACAATGTAATTTTTTAGTGTTAAATGTGAATGTTTTATTGTGCGTCGTCATGGTTGTATGCAGTTCAAAACGGTACAAATAATATTACATGCTTGTATATACCATTGACATATCCATTAGAAAAAATTGTTTTGATAATAATAAATCGACCATTATTTATTTCGGCTATTATTTGTTGAAATATTATCATTGTGATTTTGTATAAGAACGTGGGATTGGATATTTTGAATGTGATCGAATTGTAATGTTCCTCAAGCGTTTTTTACATAATGATGTAAGTTGTTTTAGAAGTTCAATTACTGTGACTGATTTTGGGATATTAATTAATTAGCTTTATGGCTCAATTATAACATAAATTTTGTCTTTTGTGATTTGTTTTATTAAAATTTTATAACATTGGCATTAATGAAATTCATTTGACACCGAACGAGTAAATAAATTAACGGACGCCAAAAGATAAAAGTTTGCTTTTATCTATAACTAAATGTTTAGATGTATGTGTGAATACATTGCCTCATTATTAAGACGAGGTTTAAACGAATAAAAAATGTTAAATAAGTATTTGAAAACGACTTAAATCAATACAAGAAGTAAATCAGCTGCTTTGAAAAAGTCGCGACAGAAAATAAATACCTCGACCTTCAATACAATGTAAATTAAAAATAAAAGATATAATATTAATTTAAAATGTAAAATGCTGTTTGAAAATAAAGTCCGTTATAAGATGTATGTAACTGTTATGCATTTAAAGTGTCCTAGCGACATGCTAATATCCTAGAGATGACCGCTCGTCTATAATTTGTATTTTATAAATATATTTCGCTGTAGTTTCGATAAATATTAAAGTATCAATGTAAAAACATGTTGTATATTAGCAATGTGTAATATATTTTCTAGATGTGGTAGTATAGCTAGGTTTAGATGGAATTGTACAAATAATAATTTTATTAATGAATTATAATTTAATCATCTTGTAAAACGCAATTAAGTAAATATTAAAAATTTCGTATTTAATGTTTCGTTTCATTAATACCTCGTCACATTTATTTTAAGTTTAATGTTTTATTTCAGATCCTATATATTGTAATAATTAATTAACATTTATATACATATTATTCTTTTACATTATGTAATTCGTCTTGGTAAGTAAAACGAATTCTTTTCCTAAAAAAATTGAACCTTAATGTGATCTCTTTTTTTTAGTAGAAAAAGACAACTTTTGTTAGCAAGAGATAAAATATTTTTATGCATGAAATATGTGCACAATCAATGATCAAAGTAAACTCAAATATATTCTGCCTACACTTTCCTTGATACTGGCATATAATTTATATTTGAGAATTTATTAAATAAGCCTTTCAATTTTTGATACTGACCCTTTTCATCTATACAAATAAATGAGATTGAAGTAGGTTTGTAATATTGAAATAATTATAAATAAAACTTTCAAGTGATTAAGGATTATCAAAAAAAAACATGTAAAAACATAGACCACCTTCAGTCATAACTTAGAAAATCTCATAAAATGTAACTTAGAAATTAATCTCAAATACTTGTTCAGGAAGACTACTATAATATACACATTATAGAGCAAGAGCCCGTGAACCCCAGACCTTCGTTATTTTATAAAAGCTGAAAGTTTGTCAGCGCATGCTCCCAACACAGGTAAGAACGAAGGTCCATTATGAAATTCGGGTTGTAGTGGCTTTGGCAGGTAAACGGTACTAAAGGTGTGTAAAATACTAATATAGTTTCGTCAAATTATACAGAGCGATTTTTTGGTATTACCTTTAGAATGTTATTAAAAATCACATTATTCATTACCAGACACTTAACATCGTGGTAACCCCTTGCCAGACACCCTTAATGTTCAGGGTATAATAATTCTACTTACGTTATAGTATAAAAGCTGATTTTTATACAGGATACTTGGGTAATGAGTAGATGATATTTTCTCAATAGCCAGACATTTTTGATAGTTCCAACCCCTTGCCAGACAAGTATGTAGGGTCGCTGTAGAAACGAGCGCGAGGTAGTATATATATGTGAGTGCGAGTGAGATGCGCTTGTATTGTTTACTACTTTGTACATGCGTATGTCAGTAAAATTAATATATGCTATTTTTAAAGATAAATTTAATATTCATTATTAATTATAAGCCGGGAGAAGGCTGCCATGAGTGCGGCGCTGCGGTGGACTCGGCCCAGCACACCCTCGAGGTGTGCCCGAGATGGGCTGCGCAGCGCCAAGACCTTGTGGCGGCTCTCGGCGGAGTGGACCTGTCGCTTTCGAGTGTCGTGGAGAAGATGCTCGAGAGTGATGGGTCCTGGTTGGCGGTGTCCTCCTTCTGTGAGACGGTCATGTCCACGAAGGAGGCATCTCAGCGGGAAAGGGAGAGGGCGGCTGATGCTCCCTCCCCCCGCAGGCGACGTACGGGGGTGCGACGGAGGCAATTCCTACGCCTCCAATAGCACCCCTGTGTTCCGGGCTGGGGTCGGCGTGGTAACCCGGCCCTTTTGAAAGCCCGGCGTCGTCGGGGTGGTCCTAATTGCCGGGATCGCCCCCATTCTCCGAGGGAGTAAGCCCGGTCTTTGCCAGGACCGGCCAGTCGCTGGTGTGCCCTGTCGCTGACAGATCCGGGGTACACCGACATAGCGGCCGATGGCTTTCGCAGTGGTTTTAGTGAGTAGGGGCCTGCCCAGGCCGAGCCTCACACATCCCTTCCGGCCCCACCAAGGTCGGTTGGACGGCTCGTAAAAAGAGTTTCCACTACGTCATCAAAAAAAAAAAAAAAAAAAAAAAAAAAGTACATCAAAACTATTAAGTGAATTCAATATTATTAGTGGATGATACGTAGTGTATGATAAGTAGATTATTTGTTTACGATTTGTTCATGTGACTTTTAAAATAAAAGTGAATTTGTATTGAAAAAAAAATCATGGGTGATACATTAATTTGTGTTATTTGCAACCAAAGTAGTGGAAAAACAATATTATTTTCTGAAGAGACATTGAAAAAATGTGAATTAATTTTAAAATTGCGAAAAAAACATAACCTTAAATATAATGATATCATTCTTCCACGTGAATATACAGAGGGTGGCTATCATAGGGAATGTTATAAATCATTTACAGGGTTAATGAAAAAATATTTTACGGCAGAACCAAAAAATTCTGGAAAGAATGTGGGAACAACGCAGGAAAAAAAAACATCTGGGGTAGCAGAAAATCCATCAACAGATGATTCAATACCAGGTTCATCGCATTTATCGGAGTTACCTGAGTCACACGTACCTTCAGCTTCTCAATCAACAGAACTTGAAGCTTTCCAGGTAGCTGCGGACATTTGTGAACTTGAAGAAGTGACTGAAAATTTATTTGGATAAGTCATTCTAATCATGAATCTCTTTTTAACATTTACATTGATTGTCCGGCAGAGAGATTGAAAACAGAAAAAAATATCTGGCTAAGGAGGAAACATCATCTAATAACTACCTAAGTATTATATAAAAATGAGCGATTTAATTATAAAGTAAGTAATGCTATTATTGATATTTTTCTTATAATTAATAATGAATATTAAATTTATCTTTAAAAATAGCATATATTAATTTTACTGACATACGCATGTACAAAGTAGTAAACAATACAAGCGCATCTCACTCGCACTCACATATATATACTACCTCGCGCTCGTTTCTACAGCGACCCTACATACTTGTCTGGCAAGGGGTTGGAACTATCAAAAATGTCTGGCTATTGAGAAAATATCATCTACTCATTACCCAAGTATCCTGTATAAAAATCAGCTTTTATACTATAACGTAAGTAGAATTATTATACCCTGAACATTAAGGGTGTCTGGCAAGGGGTTACCACGATGTTAAGTGTCTGGTAATGAATAATGTGATTTTTAATAACATTCTAAAGGTAATACCAAAAAATCGCTCTGTATAATTTGACGAAACTATATTAGTATTTTACACACCTTTAGTACCGTTTACCTGCCAAAGCCACTACAACCCGAATTTCATAATGGACCTTCGTTCTTACCTGTGTTGGGAGCATGCGCTGACAAACTTTCAGCTTTTATAAAATAACGAAGGTCTGGGGTTCACGGGCTCTTAGACTATTATTAAAGGTTGGAAAAAACAGATCATAATAATGAAATATTTATTTATTATATTTATTGAAACTGTTGCATGTATTGCTGTGCATGTAATTCCTCTGCTGTGTATTCAAGTGCGGGATGGTTTGTTGGTAGTTTGAGTTCCTCGGCCACAGCAGCAAGTCTTGCTGCTCGGAGACGAAGGGAGCCTTCTATCTTCTTTGTTTGCTGTTCTGAAGCCTCTGCTGCTGTAGCTTGTTCTATTCTGTGTCTCTCCAACTGTATTTTAAATTATGATCTTATTTATATAGTGATCATGAAATAATTGAAGTCTATCTTATTATAATTTTTATTTAAATGTAAGCACACGAAAAGCGTAATTATGTTAACATTAATTCAAGTAATACAAAACACAACTTTTTATTGTAGAATACTATCTGGTAAAAATTGAAAATATTTGAAATTAATTATATAAATAAATATTTAAATACTCTATTTACTCTTGCATTTTCCAGCTGGTAATTGAGTAGTTCTAGGTTTAATTTCACAATCTCTTTATTATCTGTAGTGCAGGAACCAAAATAACTTGAAGAATCTGAAATATAAAAAATATATAATATAAAATTATGCAAAATCTTAGATCTTTTATATCATGCAAACTATTCAAACGACCTGGGAATCCTTATAATAAAAACAAATTAATAAAATTATGTATGTATGTATGTATATAGATGATGCATACCCATCCCTGAATCACCGTTAAGTACTAAACTGAGTGGATCTGTTAAATCTTCATTGACTTTTTCACTTGTATTTTCCATATCATTGCTCTCTTCGTCAACAGGATCATCTTTATATTGAAATTCAGGTTCAGTCTTGATTACCTAATATACACAAATTGTTATAAATAAATCAATGACATTTTTATGTTAATTTCATATTTATATCACCTTATGGTCATTTAGTTTCTTATGCTCGTGATCTTTAAAACCCTTGAAGCCAACACATTTAGCCATTCTTTTCATATTATTGAACTTTGTTCTTAAAATTTTTGTTGTACGTTTTTGCGGACTTTGTTTGTTGAATGTATATGTTATCTGGTGGTTAATATTTTAAATACAATTCATTAGAATGTATGAAAATCATAATGTTTAATTGTAGTAATGTGATTTAACGTTACCCTGGACCAGGCATTGTTTTTTAATTTAATAGCTTGCCCTGTGCCAACTTTAGAAAATATATGCTTTTTTTCATCTCGCACACACTTCAGTAACAAACTGCATTCTTGTGGTGAAAAATTAAATGATCTGCTTAATCTACGGAAAAAGGTAAAAATTTTTTAGAATATATAACATATATATATTAATTGAAAATAAAAAAAAAATGTTTTTAACCGAATATTTAAAGTACCTTTCACATTCATCGCCATCTGAAATTGTTTTTCAAATCAAATTAATTTAGTAATCAAAAGAATAATATTAAATAAATATTGAATAATAGGATGTACCGATTAAATCGTCACCTTCAGAGTTATCATAGTTTTCTTCCCAGATCTTTTGTTGATTTTCTTCATCCGCTTCTATAAAAATCAATTATTTTTTAACAATTAACATCACTATCATTAAATAAAAGAATTTTCTTACCGTTGATATGTTGAAGTATCCCATCGGTTGTGTTATTTGAATTTTCTTCTGTTTCACTCATCATTACCACTATACGGCTAAGAACATCATCAAATTCAATGTGCCTAACATCAAGTATGTTCTTCGACAGTTTCCGAGCTTCCTTTTTAAGATTATCCCACTTAATTTTCAAACTGTCAACACTTCTAAGATTTCTGAAACCTTGTTTATTAAAATCTTTCGATATTTTGAGCCAAGCTACCTCTTTTGCATGATTGGTTGTGGTATTAGTGCATTTATTTAGTATAATATGTTTATAAAGCTCGACCTGCTTCACCAATGCCTGAACTTCATCTTTTGAGTACGCAGGACTTCTGTATCTAAAAAAATACTAGTTAGTTTCTATCATTATATAATAAATATCTTACAAATATATAAGATGCTTACGAAACTAACTGTGACGAAGTATTTTCTTCCTCATTTTCTTCATCCATATTTATATTGAGTTAGTAATATTTTAATGTTATAAGCTGAAAATACAAATATAAATAAATTGGGAGTCTTTTGATTTTCTTGTCCACTTATCTTTATTTGATTTTTAAAAAAAACTTTATTTATATACGTTTTTGCTTTTAATTATGCCTATTTAGCTCCAAAGTTACATTAATAAGATTTCAATATTTTTTTATAAATTTACATTAAATTTGAGTGTAAATTAAGTCTAACTTACGATTTTTGTTTCCAGTTGAAATACTTCATCGTTTAAGTATAATTTTTTGTCGGTGAAAAGACCTAAGTTATTTATAAGTAAAATCTCTAGTTTTATTGTTTAAAATCTGTTTAAAAAAGATCATTCATATATTTAAAACTCTGAAATATCGCAACCCTATTAATAAAAAGCTCTATATCGCTTTGATTTATATTTTGAAGGTAGTAGTTTTTTGATTTGTAAACAAGCTAATAAGTTATAATGGCAGTGTTGCTAACTACTTTTTTAGTTGTCTCGAGTTAGATTTAATTGACGTTTACTATTTATAAATAAATAAAATCTTTAAAAGGGAATTTTAATAATTCTTTGAAATAATTTTAATATAAATTTTCATGATATTCCCTTAATGTATATTACTATAAATAGAAGTGTATTAATTTTTGAATCGCCTTTTATTAAAAAAAAGGATTGTTATGTCAAAATAATATTGGACATCTTTTAGAATATAAAATTATAAGCAAATATTTTCCTTTAAAATATACAGATATAATAGTATAAATTTATATTAAAAAGTGACAATAATACCCAAAAAACACATGTCAAACGTCAAAATCGTTTGAGGTTATTTATAAATTATAAATATAGCCGATTTTTAATTTTAAAAGAAACATTTCAAAGCCCTAGTAAGTTTATAGTATTAATCTTTGTTACACATATTATTTGATTTATACATCAATTTGTATCAGGTATGTTTGTTGTCTGGGATCACCGACCATTCAAAATGGCGGAAGAAATTGATTTTCTATAGCATATTATTCTCCACCGTTCACACTCAAGTCATTTGTAGTTTAGTGTTATTAGAAGTAAAATATGACTTATTTTTGTATTTAAACATTGCGATACATAAGAATATATATTAAAATATCGGGTAAATGCATTCCACTATCATAACGTGTTCCTTAGTCCTTTGTAATTAATATAACGTAGATAATATGAAGGAAGTGATATTGGCTATTATAACATTTTTCTGTAGCATTTTCTTAGTATTAGCATTTGTGTTATTTTGTAAGTAGCTCTTTGTTAATCAAGTTACTGGATATTAACAATCTTAATTAGCAAATTTGTCTTTTTATTTCAGGCTGGTATATTGTATGGAAGTGTTGTTTGTCTAAATTTCGCTTTGTTCGTGAGCTTATTGGGGGTATGTCTGATACCCCTCCGGCATCAGAAACACGACAACCTAAAGCCAGAAAATCAAGACGTGAATAATAATAATAATTATTATTTTATAAATTAAAGCCTATACAAAATGAATATTCGTTGCGCTCGTCCAAGCGATCTTATGAACATGCAGCACTGCAACTTATTGTGTCTGCCAGAAAACTATCAAATGAAGTATTACTTCTACCATGGATTGTCTTGGCCCCAGCTTAGCTATGTTGCTGAAGATGAGAAGGGACATATTGTTGGTGAGTTATCCACCTTCTAGAAGGTTTATTGTTATTTAATAATGAATTATACATATAAATATCAATTCCACAGGCTATGTGTTAGCAAAAATGGAAGAAGATGGTGAAGATAATCGTCATGGACACATAACATCCTTGGCTGTTAAAAGGTCCCATAGAAGGCTAGGTTTGGCACAAAAATTAATGAATCAAGCATCTTTGGCTATGGTGGAGTGTTTCCAAGTATGTGATCAATAATAATGTGTATAATAACTTCTATTTGCATTTATTATAATTGTATATTCTTTTACAGGCCAAGTATGTGTCATTGCATGTAAGGAAAAGCAACAGAGCTGCTCTTAATCTGTACACAAATTCCCTTGGTTTTAAAATCTTAGAAATTGAGCCTAAATATTACGCTGACGGTGAAGATGCCTATTCAATGATGAGAGATCTCAGCGCTTTTGCTGCGGAGACCCCAGAAGTGACAGAAAACTCTGATGTAAAGTCTGACATTATTACGGCTACCAACTAAAGAATAAAGAAATAAACTGTTTTTACACACTGTTTGTTTATTTCTGTTTCATATTCAGAACAAAAGGTTAAAGTGATAACATCACTGTCTGATTTATATGTAGTGTTTTATATGTATAAATTATTATAAAGAATTTAATAAAAGTCAATACATATGAACTGGTTTTGTTTTCTGGCAACAATTTTTTTTCTGACTCTGCTTGTTATAAAAATAACATGATTGTCACCATCTACCGAGTGATTATTATTTACACTCTACTTGCGTATTGGATGTGATGTCAAGTATTTTATGGAATCATTGATATTAAAAAGCATATTCACTATTATTTAATTCCAATTTTCATCAAAATTTAAAAAATCATATTTATTGACAATAATAATAAAGTAGTATTCAATACAAAATGAGTGATTAAAGTTTCATAAGCACAAGATTCATATTTGGCCCTATTACCGATTTCTTATAAATATTTTTAAAATAATTAGATTAAATAACTCCATGTTAACTGGAGTAAAAGCTCAGAATACTTTTCATTTACAATTGCTACTAATATTTTATATGAATAATGATAAAGGACAAAAAATTGTATTGAAGTATAAATTTTTATTTATCAATTGATATATAAAAAAAATCTATGCATAGTATCTTAAATAAAACTTATGTTACAACTAAGTATTAAGAAATACACAATATTCTATGTAAAATCTTCACATTCATCTTCATCATCATTATAAAGATGATTAAGTTTTAATTCCACTTTTTTTTCTTCTGTGATTGTTTGATTTTTGATTACTGGTTTGTTGCTCGGCTTCTTGCCTGACACACCAACTACATATTCAGGCATGATTATTTTATTACTCTTATATACAGGTTGTTGTTTTTCCTCCGGTTTAATTTTAATGGTTTTTGATATATTAAAAACGGGTTTTTTAAATACAGCCCCAGTGTCATCTGTGACTTCCATATTTTTATTTTCTTCACGTTCTTCCATTTCACGAATAAATGCGAGAGCTGTTTCTGTGTTCGTTTTGTCAGACATTTGATCTGGGGTTACATCGGATAGTGTGTAATAATCCCATTTTTGTGGATTCTTAATATAATCCGGCTGTGTTTTAGATCGTAAACATTGACGAAGGGTCGCCTCTTGTCTTTTGAATATACTCTCTTTTCTACGGAACTGTTTCATCTCATGTTTTAATTTCTGATACGTACGTCTATCAATCTCATTGAAATTTGTTTCATCTGCATTACTTTTTACTGTGTAACCACACTGTTCTTCAGCATCTTTCAAAGTGTTAAATAAATTCTTTTGCCTTTCGTGAAAGGATGACATTGTGGTTTTGTCTGAAAATTGTAAACTTTAACAATGTTCTCAGTACTCATAAGTACATTATTCAGGACTTAACTATGAATTATTCTTTACTTCAAGGACTTGAAACAATATTTCTTTACAATACAAATAACAAATATGTAACAATGTAATTTTTTTGACAACTCTTAACATGACAGCTAAGATTTGTCAAATGTCAAAAATTACTCTTCTATATTTGAATACTTGACATTTGTATGTAAGTTATGTGTTTTAGATAGTGACAAGCTAGTCTCTTAATAAAACCGGCCAAGTGCGAGTCGGACTCGCCCATGAAGGGTTTCGTAGCAGCAAATAACATAATACCTATTAATAATAACATAAGAAAAACTAAGGATGACTAGAATACGTTTTGTTTTAAATTTGCCCTTACATGTAAAAAAGTGGGGATAAAAGTTAATGCGTTTTTTTTTTCATTTATTAAGAAAATCCTTATTTAGATATTCAGTCAAGAAATAAGACCAGCGTAATTCGGGTTTTTTGGAAATTCCCCCCCAAAAAGAAAAAAACGGGGTCGAGTTTGTATGAAAAATTCGTAATTTCTGATAATACTTCCAAGAGAATTCGTATTTGGCTATTCATTTATGAACTAAGTGTGGTTTTCATCATTTCATTGAACTGAGTTAAAAATTAAGGCGATTTCCTTATTTATTCTAAAGTAAATTCGGAATTCTTCCTCTCCTAAATCGAAGGGGTTACTTCGATCTCGGAGATTCCGCCGATGAATTCTTCGTCCATCGCGGACTCTTCTGGCGGCCTCTGTCTCCAAAACAATAATACCCCAAAGTCCATTTTACAGGTTTTCCTTGAAATTCACTTCCTTTTTATATCGAATTTCTTTATCGACCAACTTTAAAGTGTAGACAAGTTTAACGAAAATATATCAATGACAACTGCCAAAAATAAGAACCATGCCGACATTGTAATTTAAAATTGACAGAATTCGGTAAACTATGTCGATCTTATAAAGGTGTAGACATAACTCGACAAAATTGAGATCCATGCTACCAACGTCGTTTTATCTACATCTAATGTCAAAAACGTCGATAAATGCCTCGATAAGAGTCGACATAAAGAACCGTGCTCGCACTGTTTGGATTTATATTACAAACAATGAGAATGTGTGCTGTTCTTTAGCTAGTATTTATAAAATACTCCCGACCCTTCGATTACTTTGCAGCACCCCTACTCATGGGTAGATGATGCTTCTTTCGCCTGCTCGTGATCACTGTTAAAAATAAATAAACAGGCGCAGTGAACCGAAAAATATTCATTTAATTTTAATAGAATTCTACTCATAGTGTCTGGAAGTTACTCAATCACAAATTAAATGCTGGAATATCCTGAATTAATATATATTATACAGCTAGATCAAATTGAGACTGGCCAATAGAGAGGCAAAAATTTTATATTCACAATTTTAATATGCCTGAGAAATATATTTATTAGTATATAATATGTGCCAATTATATTTTGTTTCGAATTCCGTAATAGAAATGCATATAAAAATTATTTTTAGTATTCCATTAAGTTATCATTTACTTCGTTACCACTTACCACTATGCGAATAACTTTCAAACATAATTCATATTTAAAAAGGGTTCAAAACGTCTCATATCATACAATTTAAAAAATGATTTACAGGATAACTTCTGTCAACAGATAGACTTAAATATATTTGTTATTAAATATTTATAAAACGTTTTAAAAATTGCCCTTTCCCTTTTCCCAACCTTTCCTTTCCCTCCCTTTTCCACCTTTCCCTCCTCCTTTTCCCCAATCAAGGGCGGAAACATATCCGCAAATCTACGTTGCGGATGTCCATGGGCGACGGTAACTACCTACCATCAAGTAGGCCGTCTGCTCGGTTGAACCCTTTTACAATAAAAAAATACTTATACAATCTGTGACTATATTGTATTTAATAATATACCAAATCGCTTTTATCATATAACTTTTAAATTCCTATAAATAAATTGATAATTCGTTAAGTAAGTAATAAAACAATCTGTATATAGAATACGGTAGAACTACGAAGTTAGCCGATCTTCCCCATGATATAACGTATTTCTTACTTTTATTATGTTTTAAGTCCATTCATAATCATGTCCATTACGTTGTACGTTGCAGCTTTTTTTAATCTATAGTCAAAGTAGGTTATTGTTTAAAAATATTGTCGGCCATTATCATCTAGATAAATGGTAATTGATTACATAGAGCCTAAAGCGGACTAATCCAATAATGCCACAGATAAGATATAGTATTAATTCAATATGTGAACACGGCAAATGAGGTTCTATTATGCCGTAAACCTTTGTTAAATGGTATTGTCTGTCGACATTTTATAACACATTGCTTTAAGATGAATGGATATATTATTTTCATACTCATATTATATATAGTACCTACATTATAAGGTATTATTTAAGGAATGGCTTCTTATTCTATAAGTATGTTTATATAAAAACTATTATAATAATATTGAATTAAGTAAATACGTTTTCCTTCCGGAGTGGTAGGAACTATTTGGCGGTCAGCCCAAAACCAATTTAGTCGTAATTTTTTTTTATCCAATGTGGTAAATATAGAATGCTAATAAGCAAAAGATTAAAACTTCAAGTACAATGTGTTATTGAGAATGTATTGCGTGAGTCATTTACGACTGATTTGTACAGAATATGAACTGTTGTATTGTTCTCTAAGAAAACTATTTTATTTGATGTACGACAGAAAAATAACTTATACTTTACGGTTTTTTAGATTGATTATTTTGTTTTGTTCATTACTCAATAACTAGTTACTTGTAAATTGGCGCCACTTAAAAGAAATGCTTTTACAGAAATAATATTATTACAGTATCTAAATTTATTTTTTAATTGACTGCCTTCAAGGCTTTTCCCTTGACTATTTCACTGGTTCTTATAACAATAGTCGATTGTACTTAAACAATTTCGTCGTAAACCTTTTTTTTAATATGGAGTGCTCTTGACACGAGTCTCTGTATGAGAGGTGTGAAATGTCAAAGCATAACACTGTCAAGTTGATTACACTTATGACAAATTAAGGCAAAACCACAGTCGAAATATTATTAAGAAACAAAATAACCGATATTCTCATGGTTAATGTAATATTGAATTAGTTTCTTATTATCTATATTTAATATTAATAGAAGTTATTCTTTTATAAGTGTCGTACAATATATGTAGATCAAGGTCAACTAAAAAAGATTTATAGTAATGATCAGAAGTAAATAATGAAACTGTTGGTTTTAATCACTTATTACCACGGCATTCATTTCATCTGAGTATATTTCACTTTAATCATTAATACCATTATATGCAGTTACTTCATAATTTATAAATTAATTATATCTTTATATTTTTATTACAAACTTTTAACAAAATACGTATACAAATCTATTTATGACACACACAAACATACAGAGTCACACACATGCACACATATTATACATATACATACTTGGGCCAAAATCCCTTCAGGTAAGTATGAAAAGGCAGAAAATGAACAATTACTCCCTGCACTTGTCATATCAACACGCAAAGGTATGGCTTAAAAATCACAAAAATTATTCTCAAAGCAGAAATTCTATTTCTTTATCTTAATTAAGTACTTCTTTATTATTGAGTATTGACCTTGATAAAGGTGTGGAGACTATTCTGAAACTATAATTATAATAATAATAATTAAAAAGGAATTTATATCCAATAAAAAATATGGCATTATTCATCAATAGCATCCGTATTTTGATTTATATGTAAGCTTATTATTATGAGGAGCAGTCTATATTGCTTATTCAGACTTCGTTAGCAGTCTCGACGTCGTAATTCGCTTTTCCCCTGCAGTCTAGACCAAGATGAAATGAACAATCAATAGTACTTTCATTCTTAATCCCTCTCACGTTCGTGGTTTTGATGTAACATATCATTAAATTACAAATTTATTTACAGTAAAATATAGTAGAATATTGTTTATAAAGTTACTTAGAGAAATTCAATAAATTATATTTATTTTGATAATCTTTAATTAATTATCTGTGTAACTAAAATTTTAAACTCATGAAAGAAATTTGCCTCGATTTTGAAACAGCTGTATCAATCAAAATTCACATAAATTTAAGTCTATATGTTATTTTGACATTACTGTAAAGTTTTATAAAAATACGTTCAGGAATTCGTCTGAAATATTATAGTTGCAATCATCACAGATTAAAAATAACAGTGGCATTATACAAAATGTATTTACTGTATATGTAAACAAAGTTTAAGTGTTTTATATGAAACATTGTAAGCTGATATACAAATAGTACACGTTCAGTTCAGACTGCATCAAATAATGTTCAGCTTGGTCAATATCTTTAACCTGTAGATAGGTGGATTGCGCATGCGCGCTACGGCTTCTTTCAGAGCACTTGCGAAGCTTGGCCAGTCCGAACGCGAAAACAGCTGCTAATATTAGCGCGGGAAAGCGCATTGCGTCTGTGCGGGATTTTCCAGGGCGGGCGGCGCGCGCATATATATTATAACCAGTATTATTCTGTGCTGGCACAATAACACTGTGCACTGTGTCTGTGCTTGTGCTGGTGAAATGTGAGCCTGGTTTCTGTCACAGGTAATTGTGGTTGTGCATTTTAATTATTTATCATATTGATTTTAATGTATTAGCTGTAAAATAACCTGTTGTAGATATAATGCCATTAAATAAAACACCTGAATATACATTTTCCTATATTAATTGAATTCAACGTTTTATCAAGTGATTCCAATTCAAAAAAAAAAAATTAATTATGTATTTTTTTTATCAAAACACTATCGATATATGGCAATTTATTTTAAATATATTTAAATTCAAATTCGACATAATTCAAGTTGATACATAAAACGATGCTATTAAAAAGGTTCGCAAGTTTAAAATAATCTTTTTTAAATAAATATATTTTTAATCTA